TCATTGGAATTTTGATGGGAATTGCATTAAACATGTAGATTACTTTTGGGAGTATAGACATTTTTACTATGTTGATTCTACCAATCCATGAGCATGGGAGATCTCTCCACTTTCTATAGTCTTCCTCAATCTCTTTCTTCAGAAGTGTATAGTTTTCCTTGTAGAGGTCTTTCACATCTTTTGTTAGGTTTACACCTAGGTATTTGATTTTTTTTGAGGCTATTGTAAATGGAATTGTTTCATACATTCTTTTTCCGTTTGCTCATTGTTAGTGTATAGAAATGCTAATGATTTTTCTATGTTGATTTTATATCCTGCTACCTTGCTATAGCTATTGATGATGTCTAGAAGCTTCTGAGTAGAGTTTTTTGGGTCTTTAAGGTATAGGATCATGTCATCTGCAAATAGGGATATTTTGACAGTTTCTTTACCTATTTGTATTCCTTTTATTCCTTCTTCTTGCCTAATTGCTCTGGCTAGGAATTCTAGTACTATGTTGAATAGGAGTGGAGATAGTGGGCATCCTTGTCTGGTTCCTGATTTTAGAGGGAATGGTTTTAATTTTTCTCCGTTAAGTATAATGCTGGCTGTAGGTTTGTCATATATAGCTTTTATAATGTTGAGGAACTTTCCTTCTATTCCTAGTTTTCTTAGAGCTTTTATCATGAAATGATGTTGGATCTTATCAAAGGCTTTTTCTGCATCTATTGAGATGATCAAGTGGTTTTTGTCTTTGCTTCTGTTAATGTGGTTTATTATGTTTATTGATTTTCATATGTTGAACCACCCCTGCATCCCTGGGATGAAGCCTACTTAGTCATGGTGAATGATCTTTTTGATGTGTTGCTGAATTCGGTTTGCCATTATTTTGTTGAGGATTTTTGCATCAATGTTCATTAAGGAGATTGGCCTATAGTTCTCCTTTTTGGAGGTGTCTTTGCCTGGTTTTGGGATAAGTGTAATACTGGCTTCATAAAATGTGTTTGGCAGTTTTCTTTCCCTTTCTATTTCATGGAACAGTTTAAGGAGGGTTGGTATCAGTTCTTCTTTAAAGGTCTGATAGAATTCAGCAGAGAATCCATCAGGTCCTGGACTTTTCTTTTTGGGGAGACTCTTGATTGCTGCTTCAATTTCATTTTGTGTTATAGGTCTATTCTGGTGATTAATTTCCTCTTGGTTCAGTTTTGGATGATCATATGTATCTAGAAATCAGTCCATTTCTTTTAGATTTTCAAATTTATTTGAATATCGGTTCTCAAAGTAGTCTCTGATGATTTCCTGGACTTCCATGGTGTTTGTTGTTATCTCACTTAACTGCTGAACAATATCCCCAGTCTGCTATTGATTTCTTTTTTAAGAATTTCTGCATCTTTTTCAAAACTCCTCCTGTCCTCATCATGTATAGCTATCTCTTCTTATAGTTTACCATATTGGTAATAGTGTGTTAACTCTTTGACTTCTAACTCTAAATCTGGATATTTTTGGCTCTTCCTCTGTTTACCCATTTGCAGCTTGTTGGCATATCTAGTAATTTTTGTTGTGCACTAGATCATATGTTGTAGAGACTCTGTATTATATTATCTTTCTCTGAGTTGCGTTCTAGCAGTAAATTGTTGGTGAGTCATCTCAAGTCTGTAGATGACTTTAGGCTTTGTTAGAGCTAAGATTTGTCCTTAATTCTAAGGTGTAAGTCTTAGTCTGGTAACAAGGTCATTAGTCATTATGCCTATTGGATCCCTTCTGGAGTTCCACTGGAAACCCAAGGACCCTTCCAAGGCCCTCTAATATAGGTGGGATTAAATCCTAAACTCTGTCTCCTCAGAACCAGGCAGAAATCAGCTCCTTTAGCCTCTCAGCTCTTGTTTTCTACTAGATTCCTTTGAGCTCAGGACTCATTCAAAGATTGAGAGGGTGTAGGTTGGAGAACTTCTCCCTTTATGGTTGCATTGTTCTGAGATTTCTTCCCTTACTTTCCAACTGCTTTGGTACCCTAGAGCTCCTAATTCTTCCTTGTCAATCCAGTGAGACTTCTTCCTTGTGCTTGAATGTTGCCCAGATGTTCCAGGTAAACTGGAGAAAATCTTCAAGGTAAAAGTTTAAAAGTTTAAGAACCCGACTCTTAAAATGTGGATCTCATCTAGGTTTTTCCCCTGTTTAAGAGTCATTTCTCCTCCAGTTTCTGTGTGCTTTTGTCAGTGTCCAGTAACTTCAAGAAAATTTTTATTTTGGTGGTACTAGGGTTTGAACTCAGGCACTTGCTAGATACACACTCTATCATTTGAGTTATGCCCCCAGCCCTTTAATGCTTTAGTTATTTTTCAGACAGGGTTCTGTGCTTTTTTGCCTGGGGTCAGCCTTAGACTATGATCTTTCTACTCATAACACCTGCATAGCTGGAATTACAAGCATGCACCACCACATTCCACCCAGGAATTTTGTTTTATATTTTATCCAGAGTTATAATTGTTATCATTAAAGGGATTAACTTGATATGAGCAACTGCAACTCTACCATTAGTGTCATTGAATTTGTCAAAGTTTTAAATGAATGATATACTAAGGGTCACCTCTTTCAAGAATAGTTACATTGTAACAAAACACAAAGCATTAATGATTTTTTGCAGATTTTATGATATGAGTATGCAAACACAATAGTATTGGGGAACAATCAACAGTGTTCACTAAGTAGCAACCCTCTCAGTGCAGTCTATAGCAACACCCTTTAGAAGTCTCCATCTCCTACATTTTTCTCTGTCCCTTTGAGATTTAATCTATTAGCACTAAAAGAATTGAGCATAAGCAATGTGAATTTTTTTTCTTTCATTTCCAGAGCAGTTTTCTATCTACTGCATAGCAATAATTCTGGCATTTAAATAAAAATATCTCCCCTTGTTACCTTCTGTGATGGTTCATCTCATTTGTCAACTTAATTCTATTGAGCACCACCTAGGAGATTAGTAAAGTATGCCACTGGATGTGTCTATGAGGTCATTTCCAGGGAGTATTAAGTAAGGTGGCGGGGAGAAGACCCCCTCCTAAACGTTGGTATCACCACCTTATAGGCTAGGGACCCAGATGAAATAAAAGAGGAAAAGGAGAAAAACGGCACATCTCTCCCTCTGCTTCCTGGCCACCATGTTGTGAGCTGTTTTGTTCTTCCACGCCTTCCCCACATGATGGACTGGAACCTTTGAAACCAGGAGCCAAAATAAATCTTTCCTTCTTTAAGTTGTTTATGTCAGGTATTTTATTTCAGTGATGAAACACTAACACACCTTCATTACCTAGACATGTCTTCCCCTCCCAGGTAAATTAACATATAGCTCACATTTTTCTTTTCTTGCCATCTTAGGTGAAATCCTCAATGATGTCATTATTCATGCAGTATCCTGTTGGTGACTAGTGCTTCATAGTTCTTCATTCTCTGTGGCCCAATTTTTACCAGCTTCTGGTTTTTTTTTTTTTTATCATTTTTTTCAAGATGAGCAGGGCCTTGACCATGACTGTGTTCTATCGATTGCTTGAATCTTGAATTCAGTATTTTCCTACACTTTCCACATCTTTCATGTTGTCACTCCCTCTCAACACTGAACATTGTTTACCTATTCACTTTATGTGATCACTCTGTTATGTTTGTTACTCTTACATCTTTGAAATTCCTTAGTTTTGCCTCTTATCTTTTTTAAAGAGGCAAAGTGAAGGAGTATCCAAGAACTTGGCTTTATTTCTATATGGCTCTGCCATTCACCTGCACACAACTTTGAATTATTCACTTAATTCTTTAACTTCCTGTCTGTAAAATAAGAAAAAAAATGAAAACTTGAACTCACCATACTCTTTCTCTGTATTTTACTAGTTTAGTTTGAAGTCATAGAGAAACAAATTCTAGTCTAGCAGGTGTAATGGCAACAGAGGGAGGAAGGACTGACAGCTAAGCTAAGAACTGAGCTGCAAGTGTCTTGAAGCTCCCAGCTCCAAAGTTAACTAGGCACAGTGAGACTCAGAAGGTAACAGAGTAGACATGGGTGTAGTGTAAACTGCAAGGAGACACCCCAGGTTGGTTGTGTTTCTCCCGGGCACTGCTCTGAGTTATTCAGGACTTCATGTGCCCTCTCTTCCTGACCCCCAACATTTCTCTCCTTACCACCCAAAACAAGATCTAATTTTCATTCTTAATTGGTACCAGTGATAAAACCAAGACCTCTTTTACATTACTATTTATATTTATCCAATAAAATTTCAAAACAAAACTATTCTATTGTTCAATAATCTTTTAAAAACAAGAGGAAGATGAAAGATTATTTTTATTTCCCTTTCCCTCCCCTCGATGGAAAAAGGATTCTATACTCTTCTTTAACCAAAGAACAGAATCTACTACTCATTTCCAAAGATCAGTTTCTTTCCCCTTTCCTCTTCTTTATTTGAAATTGAATAAAACTATATAGTGCATGTATGTATTAAAATAATCTCACAACAATGTCTTTTATCCCTTACTTAAAGCCTTATGAGAGCCATAACCATCTTCATTCAATAATTCCCAAAGCAATAACTTAGAAAGCTGTCTTGATGTGAGTAGAAACTTATAAACAATAAACACAGCAGACCTTTGTTACAAAATCAGTGTCAAGAGACAAGGACAATGACCATATTTTAAGGTTACTTCTTACAATGAAAAAATCTCCAAGCATTGGTGGTGGGATTTGTTTTATAGTATATTTAACAAAATGGGCAAGAGATAAGAACTATAAAATAGAGGTTTCATATATAAAATGCATGATTTTCAGTCATAAGCAAGCAACCTGCTTGGCACAGATAAGTAGAAATTTAAAAATTAACCAAAGTAACTAAACAATTGCTTCACATATAATTCAGACCTAACTCCCTTTTCTCTACTTGGAGCTATTTTTCCACTTCAATAAAACAAACTTTTCTTGACTCAGATTCAACTTTGCTTTTGCCCTTGCCTTTAAAGACATTACTTTGAAGAATAATTTTCTAGTTATTTTTTCATAACCAAAGCATAAGGGTTTTGTAATTCTTCTCTCAATGAGTATTATAAAAGCTTTTTTGTATATTTACTATGTAAAAATCTCAACTGTATTGTAAAAATCCCAATGCATTTTAATAGCCTGATATTAAATTCACAGTGTGGTTTTTTTGAGTGCAAAGGCCATGGGTCTTAACTCTAAGAAGGAAAGCACTATGTACATTTGTTCATGGTAACTTTGTTCCATTCCATCTCTTGTCTGCTCTCTTTTTTCTTCTTAAAGTATAATGTATTGCAACTATAATGAGGCAAATGATTCCTATCAAACTTATTACTGTTAAAATTCCTTTCAATATAAGATAATCTCTGCTAAGTACAGGAACAGAATTTGAGGGAATAAACAGAGATACCTGGACGATATTAGACACAGCAGACTTTAAGGAGTTCCTATCCATTGCTCTAATGGCCACATAAATTCTGTGGCTTTCTTGCAGTTCTCCATCAGGTTGATGCTCAGGTTCATTGGTGAAAAGTTCAGGTGAGAATGTAAATATTTCCCTGGTGCCAGCTTGGTGAGGACAGAGCTTTGATGTATTCACTAAAATGGCATTACTAAAGTCATCTTGAATAGTCTTTAGGCTTTTACTCATTCTTATTTCATAGCTTGTAGCTGAAATTAAAAATATAAATGGAAAGGTTAAGTCACCTTGAGTAAATTTTCTAGTTTACTAGAAATGACTAATGAGAATAGCAACAAAACTCAAAATATCTGAGAATAAACAAGAAAAGTGAATAAACTCCAAACTTCTTCAAGAAAAACCCATAAAAACTCATATTAAAACTTGAGCAAGAGGACTTATGTTTTCTGAAAGCAATATACACATAATAAAGATGTCATTTTCTCCTAAGTTATTATGTAAATTTTATGTGATTTGATTTTAAATGATTCTAGCTCTTGCTTTAACTAGTGAAAATTATAGTAAAGTTTATATGAAAAATAAATAATAAAATGGCCATATAAAGTCTAAAAAACAGTAATGAAGAAAGACTAATCCTACCACATATAAAAATGCTATAATGCCTCAATAACTAAAACACCAGGGTATTAGTACACTAATAAACATATCCACAAGTATATATCCAAAGTACATATAAAGGTAGAACTCAACTTAATTGGAGGAAATAAAAGTTACTCAATATAAGATGCTGTGAAATTTGAGTAAAAGTCTGGAAAAAGATATAAGGTGCAGCCCAAAAGTTAGCAAAGGCCTTAGAAAAGGGAGGGTAGAAAAAGGTTCTCATCAGTGCCCATAGACTCAACTCAGGGGACTGTTCCCAGCCTCTGTAACAAAAATTGTGGCTAGAGATGGGAAAGGATAAGTATGTCAAGGTTCACATGAGTCATGGGAAATAGTCCCCAAAAGTTGACTTGTAAATACATGTCTTAATATTCACTAGCCAATTTCAGAAAAATAATCACTTCTAGTATTGCTGTACAATGCAGAACCCATTTCTGATGAGTAGACCACATTCAAGGCTGCTGTGTGATTACAGCCAGTGAGTCTACAGGGCCTCTCCACTCTTGGGGAACCTGCCTGGTTCTCACTCTTGGACTCCGGGATTTTAGGTATTATTAGCAACTCAGAGTTGTTGTTGTTGTTTTATGACAACTCTCGGAAACTTTTTCAGTCCTAACAATCAAGCTATTTTCACCCAATTAACCCTTGACACAGTTCTTAGAAATTCTATCTTGTGGAAAAATAGGCCATAAAGTCAGCAAACCTACCCTGTCCCTGATCAAAGTCTTCTCCAGGTGCTGTCCAAGACAGAGCCACTTCCTCTTCCTGTTCTTCAGCTTCCAGGTCAATAATTTTGCATGGCGGAAACATGTCAGGATGGGGGCCAGTTGGAACTCCCAGCACTGAAAAGGAGCCCCCCGAGCTTATTCGGCTAAAGCCCCACTTTTGCTTCTCCTCACTTCTGTGCACTGATTTCCTTGGAGTATTCATCTGAATATTACCTGTAACACAAAAGAAAAGAATAGTCAAAATAACAAGTAACAAATCTCCCGACTAGCTTGTTCTTGGCAGACTATTAAGAGACTTTTCTAAACATTATTTAAACCACATCTTTAGAATAACTGTATTGATTCCATAATTCATTCATTCATCCATTCATTCACTCCACAACTATTTATTGAGGGCATATACTTTACTAGTAATCACACAGACACACACACACACACACACACACACACACACAGAAAAACCTGAAAACAAAAACAGTATTCCTTATGGAATGCATAGTCATGTAATCTTATTAGTAAATACACATTTGCAAATTGTGATAAGTGTGAGAAGGCAAAAAGACAGAGTGCTATGAAAGAAAATAACTCATATATATGGTTTAGAGTGGTGCCAAGGAAGTAACATTTAAAGGTTCCTAAAAGCTGAGAAGTTGGCCAGGAAAGCAATGGAGGGAAGAACTTCCCAGGCAAAGGGAACAGCCTGTGTGAAAACTCTGAGCTGTTGAAACAGGTTAGAAAAACTAAATTAAAGAAAGCAGAAGAGTAGCTGTGGCTGTAGCTTAGTGGTACAGCACTTGCCTCGCATGTTGTGAGGCCCTGGGTTCAATCCCCAGCACCACAAATTTTTGAGAAAAGCAGGTGGAAAGTAGCTTGAGATGAGACAGAAGAGAGAAGTTCGTTAGACCTATGTGGGTCAGCGTAGTACTTTTAGATTTTAATCTTGGTGCTGAAGGGGAGAAGGGAGGCACAGGATCATATGTGCTTTCTAACAAGCCATGCTGGCTGTGCAGTAGAGAATGGGTTGAAGACAGGGTGACACCTAGAGAGCCATTCAATAGTCCAGAGGAGAGAAGGTGACAGCTTGGGATTGGTAACCACAAGCAGAGAAGCAAGAATGAGCTCTTCAAGGTGTACTTTGGAGACAAAGTCACCGAAAGCTGGTAAAAGATTTCAATATGGACTGGTGAAGGAGAGAGATTTGGTTTTATATATATATATATATTTTTTTTTTCCCCAAGATTTCTAATCTGAGCACTTTGGGAGAAGCAGGCTAAGGAAAAAAAGAGACCAAAAATTAAGTTACAAGATTTGTGATCCTGCAAAATAGCAAGAGCCAGTTAAATATGAATGTTAAGCTCAAAAAGAGGTTTTAGTATGAATTTGAAGATTCTAAGCATAGTGATGTTATCAAAACCATGTGGATTCATGAAATTCTTTCTCGTTCCCGTTCTCTGCCTTCCTCCTCCTCTCTCTCTCTCTCTCTCTCTCTCTCTCTCTCTCTCACACACACACACACACACACACACACACACAGAATCAGAGGTATATACACGAAATGATATTACTCAAATTAACAGAGCTAGTGATTCTTACCATTTTCTATGTAACCTGGTACATACATAGCATGACTTCCTGGGACAGACTTGGCTAGGGTGCTCTTGCCAGCAGAGTGACTGGCATGCACTTTCAAGCTGTAACTAGCATTTACAGCAAAGGAGAAGAAATACCTCGAGTAAATTCCATCATTTTTAATAACATCGGCACCTGAATATATAGACAAAAATTCATTGTCAACACTGTCATCACAGTTGTTTGCTAATCTTTAGTAAACTATTAAAAATAAGATTTACTTCCCTGTCCTTTCCATTTTAGCATGTTATCATGGGCATTATTTTTGACTTGGCAGGTGGCTTAAAATCTGATGGTTCCATAATTTATTCCTGTGATTCCTTAATCTGAAAAAATTTTTTTCTAAATGTGAATGAATTGTACCTGCTTCAGTGTTAATACAACATTTAAAAGTCATCTTTAAGGCTCTCATTCTTATCACTGAAAATAACTAGTTTTCCATGGAAACCGAGCACATTGTCAAGCCTCTTTATGATCACAGACCCTTTTGAAATAAAAACTATTCTGTTCCCAAGAAATACATGTACACATTTTCCTACAATTTCAAGGGTTTGTGAATGCCTTGAAACCACTTGGCTGAGAACCTGGATGGAAGCAAATAAACAAAAGAACCTTGATAGTTGATTTTAAAAACAGTGTGTAATTACTTAATTTCCCCATTAGAAGGCACATGGTTCTTTTCTAGATTCTAGGGGGTTTGCTGAACTGGGCTTTGGCAGGCTTTGGTGTTTTTCCACTATGCCTTGCCTTGCTTTAGGGGGCCCCTGAAAACATGGCCTACTCCACAACTGAAGGGTACAAAAAACGAAATCTCAGGGCAGCAGTGAGGCAGCCAGTTTAGACCAAGCGCAACCCACATTCACTATTCAGATGCAGGTGGCCTCACTAGATGAGCAGCTTGTCCTATCCTAGAGAAACATTCAGTTCTCACACCTCACTCCCAGCCCTGCATCTGAGCATTGTGTCATCACTAAAGTGCTCTAGAATTCTCTTTTCCCCACTGCAGAGGCAGGGTCCTTAACATGAGAAAAGTTGAAGTAAAATAACTGCTAAACATCTTATTATGCATGTAGAGTTAGAAGATACTTTTTTTGGTCTATTGATAAAAAACAAATCTTGGCATTTAGTCTGTCTTTGAAATTGCAAAAGAAAATCTTTCCACATTATAGTCACCACTGCCACCCCTTAACCACTAACTCAGAAAGAAATGAGAACAGAACACTGGCTTTGGAGTCAGGGAACTTGGTTTTATAGTCCAAATCTGCCTTAATGGTAATGTCTCTGAGGCTCAGTTTTATTACCTATAAAGTGAGGATAACTTATCTCATGGGGTTGTGATTATCTAAGAATGTGCATGAGAAAGAAAATTGTAAACTATAAAGCCTTTCGAGTACAAATTTTATTATAGTTCATCAGTTTTACTCAGTATATAAGTACTCCTTCCATTATAAAAAATATTACACAACTGTATACATGTACATTAAATACTGGGGAAAAGCTAATTTACATTTTGATGTCTAAGCAAAGTTTTTTATTTTCTTTCACTAGGTTAAAATTTTTAGATGTTAAATGATTCCAGGGGAAAAATATAAAAGCTTATTGAGCCAAATCAGGTGATTTTCCCAAAGAGAGCAGGATCTGTTCTCCAAGTTAGCCCATAGGCCAGAGCAAGGGAGAAACATTCTGCAAAGTGCCTTTTGGACTATATGGAAAGAAGAAAGAAAGAGGGGAAGAGAGAAAGGAAAGAAGGAAATAAAGAAAGAGAAAGAAAGAAAGAATGAAAAAGGAAGGAAGGAAAGAAAAGAAAGTGGGAGGGAGGAAGGAAGAAGGGGAGGAAGGAGGAAAGGAAGGAATGAAGGAAGGAAGGAAGGAAGGAAGGAAGGAAGGAAGGAAGGAAGGAAGGGCCATGCATAAGTGATCAGAACATGAGCTGTTTATTTGGGTCCATTCCAGTAGACAAAACAAGATTCTCTGGTACCTTTCTGAGGTGGGATTGAACTAAAATCCTCTGAATGAACTTTTGTTCACAAATGTCACGTGTTATCATCATGGTAAGAAATACTAATGAGTTGCCAAACTTAAGAATCTTGAAAAAAGTTAACTTTGAAATACAAAACCAAGGTATATAGTTTTATCAGTAGATCAAATACTTGGGGCTGCCAATATACTTAAAATCTATTATCATTCTGAGAATTCAGTGTAGGTAAAGAAGTAGGAAGTAGGAAAGATGGAAGAAAAAAAGAGGCTGGATTTTTTTTAAGTTAAAAAAAAAAGTCAGTTAGAAAGAGTGTAAATGCTACTGTGTGTGTTGCCTGATGCAGTGCTGTCTGAACTGTATAATGAGGAGCTCTGAACTCAGTCTGTGGAGAATGAGAACTTTGACGTGGAGTTTTGTCAGTGGTGGGAAATCTCTATCCTGATTCCACCAACCTGCTGTTCTGGTCTTCTTAGGACTAAATCAGCCACATAAAGAGCACTGGTTGTGCACATGCAATTCTGAATTGTCTTCTCATCAATTCAGTTACCTGGTCAAAGCACTGTAATCAAGGATCATCTCATGGATCCCCAGTTCAGTTTCCAAGTGTTTTCCTCACCACTGTGTCCAAAAGGAAAATAGGAGTTACCTGTTATCTCTCTTCTTGAGTTTTATTTGCTATTTTAGTTGTCCAGAATTTCAGTGAATAAGATAAGGAATCTTAGAGAAATATACACATGTCATAAGCACATATAACCCTGTTCCTGTGTGACCCCATGAAGTGGGAGTGACCAATGTCACTAGCCCTGTGTAAGCTAAGACTGAAGTGTCAAGCAGCTTCCTCTACCCTTTTGCTCATACACAGCCACTCTGAGGAGCCTACAGGACTTTCTTAATCCAAGTTAGCCCATAGCTACTCAGTATGTCAGTGATCCTGTAAGAATTCTATGAGAATCATATAAGACTGAATAAGAAAGTCATTGAAATTTTATAGATAAGCTTAATATCAATGCAACCTCATCATAACACAGCTCTTAAGAACATGGAAAACACTGTGGCATTCCTTGTTACCTGCTCCATCATCAAAAAGTTTCAGCATAACAGGATCTCCAGTCTCCGGCTCGATTGTTGCAGTGACAGTAGCATTAAGAATGGGATAAGACCCTTTTCTTACATTTGCATAAATGGTCATGGGGTGGGGAAAATAGGTGCTGTCTCTGTCTACAAAGGCTTCCACAGTGACGGGAGGCATAGCAGAGCTGGAGGCGCGGGAAGCCACTGTCATTTTCAGGACTTGAGGAGAATGGTGGGTATTGTTCAGGGTGTAAGTCCAGTGCCCAGGCTGCAAAACAAAGGCTTTCAGTTTTTAAAGTACTAAGAAAATACCAACAATTAAAGTAGGCATCTAAGCCCTCAGGGTTTTTTTGCTCTAGTTTTGTTGATGCTGCATTTTTTAATACGACAAAAATATTAGGAAAAGTAAACAAGGGACAACTAACAAGACACTTTTATTGTTAGACAACTCTTAGGGGATTATACCCTGGGTTTATTTTGGAGGGGAGATGATATATCTTGTAACAGTATCCACCTTCAAAGATTTGCAAATATTAATATGGGCTTCTTTACCCAGATTTCTTTTCATAACTGAGAAAATCATATCAAATTATGGACCATGATATCAAATTGGGTCATTTTGATTTATGAAGACACCCTGGACTAATACAGCAATTATATTCTTCTTTTCCTCCACTAAGTAACAGGAGGAACCTACAGGGAAACACAATGGCTAAGGTGAGACTCTGGGTGGGGAGTAAGATGCCACAACTCCCTGATCAGCCTTCAGTGGGATTCATATGCTTCTCCTTTTCCCAGTGAAGTCAGATTCAAGTATCATCTATATAGCTATGCTTGTTTTGAAATTATGATATTAGTAGCAGAAACACAGACGGAACCTCCACATCACAGAGTTCTCTTTGGTGTTTTGCTACAGGGCACCTAATCCAGACTAAGGGGTCAGGCAATGGAGCAAGAAGGAGGCATAGTGTCCATTACCCTTGTGGTAAGGTGTGGAAAGGACACAGTGAGTAGCAGAAAAGTTTGTAGGAGCAGATCATAGGATATTTGGGAGAAAGGTAAGAGATAAGCTTTCAGAAGCCAGGCATGAAAAAACTCGTGTAACAGTAGCCATTTTATCCTGAAATCACCAAAAAGTTTTGAACAGGAGACAGGTTGATCAGATTTGTGCTTCAGAAAGATCACTCTGCTAGAGGTCAAAGTGGATTGCATGAATGACAGTTCAGAGTCAAGGAGGCCAGTTAAGAGGCTGCTATCGAGCCAGGCAAGGTGGTGTGTCTCTAATCCCAGCATTTGTGAACTTGGAAAGCTGAGGTGGGAGAGTCATTTGGGTCTGGGAATTTAAGAACATCCTGGGCATTATATCAAAACCCTATATCAAAAAAAAAAAAAGGCTGCCAGCAGTGATAGTGAAAGAGTTGGTCTGATCAATTCACAGCCCTCAGAATATTCAGTGCCTCCCTTTACACAGGATGTCTTTACTGTCTGGAAATCTCTTGCTGACATGGCTCCTGCTTATCTGTCTACCCATCCTCTCTCCTCTTCTTCCTTCCCCTATCTGCCCAGTTTATCTGCTACTCTGCATGTCATCCATATCAAACTCCTCACAGTTCTATGAAGAGCCTGAATTTTTTCCCTCTTACTCTCTGTATGTGCTGTTTCCTCTGCCCAAAATATCATACCCACTTTTAGGCTCCTCTGTCCCCAGGTTTCCATTATGGTGTCCTCACTTCCAGGAAGCTTTCTCGTTCCTGCCCTCCTGTACACATTGGTACCTAGTGCTCTATCAGAGCATTTTACTGTAAAGTATCTACAACAAGACCCAGTGCAGAGGAGGAGATGCTCAAAACCACATGCATTGCATTATTCATATTATAATTTATGTATAGCTTTCCCTAAACATTTAGAAAAGTATATCTATATAGATTATGTAAAGAAAGATGTAGGTTAGAAAAAATTATTTGTACTACTAGTGAAAACACTAATTTCTGTTGTCAAAAGGAGAGAAGCTTTTATCCCATTTGAACATACTTCAGTTGCTCCTCTTAAATTTTAGCATTTACAAAGTGTCTTCATAAAGTTAAAGTTTTGATGTATCAAAACAAAACTTCCTTTACAATGCATTTAATCATGTGATTAGGCTGAAAGTCATATATTTTGCTGAATACTATCATTATGAACAAACTCACACACCTACCTTAGCAGTTCCTGAAATCCAAATGCTAGCTGTACAAAAAGCTAGATTGGTGATAAAATCACTTGTGTAGTATTTTCTTCCATCAGGATCAAATAATACAATCTCAGGAGGACCACCGGTCCGCCACAGGACTAGAAAAACAGTGTCATTGCCCACACTGTTATCCACTGTCACCGTGTTTTTCAGCTGGTGGTGAGGTTCAACAGTTTCAGCCATACTTTCGAGCTGTTAAAGAGAATACATATGTGAAAGGTTCTAGTGTGTAATTCTTTAATAATTGTTTTTCTTTACTTCTATAACAAAAAGTAAAAATCCCTTAATTCTGACATGTGCTACAGTTATATAAATCATTCTTTGTATAAAAATACTTCATCAAAGTCTGGAGGTGTGGCTTAAGTTGTAGAGTGCCTGCTTTGCAAGTGCAAAGCTCCGAGTTCAAATTTCATCCCACCAAAAAAAGTTAAAAGTACTTTTCCAAAGCAAAATATTGTATATTGTATAATATTTATACTTATATATTATACAAGTACATATAGTGTCACTTCATTGTTCTCTTATCAAAAATAATTTAGCTGTTTTTATATCATCTCTCTCATATCATCTTATATTCATTGCTGAATCAGCTGTTCTTATATCATCATTGAGAGATTATATAAAATGAAGTCAATAAACATTGACTTCAGATTAACAAGCTCTTTTGTTTGTGAATACACATAAATTGTTTTAATTTGTGTATTAATATATCCATATACTTTTACATTTTTTTAACAAGAAATTGGTTCTTGGTACCTTTAAATAAAATCACTAGCCATTCACAATAAGCCATGTACATGAGTGTGTGTGCATACGGGCATGTAACAAGAGCACACTGCATACATATGCCTGGCACTGTGCTAAATACTTCAACTGCATTATCTCACTGATCTTTATGAAAACCCTCTGAGATACGTACTATTGCTATCCACATTTTACATATGAGGAGACTGAGGCTTAGAGAAGTAATTTGCCCAATGTCTCATAGCAAAAAGGCAGAACTAAAATAAAATCCAGGTGGGTCAATACCAGAGCCCTTGCATTTAATCTCTGTGTATTCTCATTGGATACAAGTCTGTAAATAGCTTTGAAATTTGTTAAACACATTAGGAACACTTTGCATAATTGCTCAAATCCAGAAAACATATCAAATCATATTGGTAGATTACAGCAAAGATAACTAGGTATTATTTGTTCAAAGCAATTTCACAAGTATTTGTGGACTGCCAGTTGCTGTGCCCCACTCTGGGCTGGAGCCTGGGCTGCTGAAGGGCTTTGAGGTAGCTCCAGCCTTCCGTCCAGGGGGATGAATGGTGTGTGAACGACTGAGGAGGGGCAGCCAACCCTGGGAAAGTTAAGATGAATTTGAGGCCATACGAAAACTATTTTATGCTAAATTTGTGGTTTTTAGCACTTGTTTTTCCATATTAAAGAGGAAATAATGGGGTATAAAAATTATTAAGAATCATCAGCAGGAGAGCTGATTATAGTCTAATCTATAATGTATATTATCATTATAATTCATAATTTTACTTCTTTTTTCTTTTCTTAATTTAAATTTGTTTTGAATTGATAGATAAAAATATAAAAAGTATACACACTTATTTGGCACCATGGTGTATTTCAAAACCACGTATAAAATACATGTTGTGTAATTTTTAAATCAAGTTAAACATTTTCTTTTCAAACATTTATCATTTCCTTATGGTGAAAAGTTTCAAAATCCCTTCTGTAGCATTTTGAAGTATACAGTACGTTGTCATTATCTGTAGTCATCCTACTGTGTAATACCACACCAGAAGTTCTTACTCCTATCTGACTAAAACTTGAATATTACATTTTGACCAACCTCTCCCCATCCCTGCCTCCTCCCTGTTGTCCCCAGTCATTGGTAACCACCATTCTATCTCAACTTCTATAAGATCAACACTTTCATATTTCACATATGAGTGAGATTGTGTGGTACTTGTTTTTTCTGTGCCTGACTTACTACATTTGCCATTATGAGCACCAGTTCCATCCATGTTGATGCAAATGTCAGAATTTCCTTTTTTTTAAACTACTGAATGGTGTTACATTGTGTATATGTACAGCATTTTCTTTATCTATTCCTTAGTTCATGGACAGGCTTTTTCCATTTCTTGGCTATTATAAATAGTGCTGCAATAAACATGGGAGCACAGATGTCTCTTCAACATGCAAATTTCATTTATTTTGGATATTCCAAGTAAATAGTGGATTGCTGAATCATATGGTAGCTGTATTTTTAATTTTTTGAGGACCCTCCTATTATATTCCATAATGGCTGTACTAATTTACATTTCCATCAACAGTGTGGAAGGGTTCCCTCTTCCCTACATCCTTGCCAACACATGTGATCTCTCATTTGCTAGACAATAGTCATTCCTACTGGAATAAGCTATATCTCATGATGGTTTCAATTTGCATTTCTCTAATGATTAGTGATATTGAGAAACTTTTCATGTACCTGTTGGCCATTTGTTCTTTTGAGAAACGCCTGTTGGGTCTATTGCCTATATTTTAATTGGTTTGTTTTTCTGTTGAGCTTTTGTAGTTCCTTATATATTTTGAGTATTAATCCCTTGTCAGAAGTATAGTTTGCAAATATTTTCTCCTATTCTGTAGATTGCCTCTGGACTTTGCTGATTATTTACTTTGCTGAGCAGAAGCATTTTAATTTGATGTAATCCTATTTGACTAGTTTTGGGTTTTTTTTCTTGTGCTTTTGATTTTTTGTCCAAAAAAATCCTTGCCCATTTTGAAGCCCTGAAGTATTTCTGCTGTTTTCTTCTAGTAGATATATAGTTTTGGTTTTTTACATTTAAGTCTTTAATCCATTTTGACTTAATTTTTGTAACTTGAGAGAGATAGGGGTTTAATTTCATTCTTCTGCATATGTATATCCAATTTCTTTAGCACTATTTATTGAAAAGACTGCTCTTTCTCCATTGGTATTCTTAGTCCCTTTATTGCAAATCAGTTCTGTGAATTTACCTGTAGGCTGTTTATTCATTCCATTGGTCGATGTGTCCGGTTTTATGCCAATACCGTGCTGTTTTGATTATCATAACACTGCAGCATATTTTGAAGTCAGGTAGTACACTGGCTCCTGCTTTGTTCCTTTTTACTCGAGATTGCTTTGGCTTTTTTGTTGTTGTTGTTGTTCCATACAAATTTCAGGATTGTTTCTATAGTTTTGTGAAGAATGTCATTGTATTTGATGGTATTACACTGAATCTGTACATCATCTTGGGTAGAATGAACATTTTGACAGTAGTTGGCCTTCTAATTCATGAACACAAGATGCCTTTTACCTGTTGGCTCACTATATATGACCTTAATTATGTTGCTGTATTCCTTCTCTACCTAATTTATTCAAAGTTTTTATCAAGAAAGGATGCTGCATTTTATCGAATGCCTTTTCTGTATCGATTCAGATGATTTTATATTTTGTCCTTCCTTCTGTCGCGTTGTAGCACATTTGCTGATTTGCACTATGTTGAACTATTCTTGCATCTTTGGGATAAATTCCACTTGTAGAATGTGTTTGGAAGAATTCTCTCTTCAATTTTTCAGAATCATTTAAGAATAAGCTTAAGTGTTCAGTAGAGCTCAGAAACCCTCTACTCCTGGTATTGTCTTTGATGGGAGACTTTTTATGACCGATGCAGTCTTGTTACTTGTTATTGATCTGTTTGGGATTTCTCTTTCTTTGTGATTCAATCTCTGTAAAATGTTTGTGTCTAGGAATTTGTCCATTTCTCCTCGATTATCACATTTGTTGACAGTTACCCATAACAATCTCTAATAATCCTTTGTTTTTTCTGTGGTGTCAGTTGCAATGTCTCTCTTTTTATCTCTGATTTTATTTACTTGAGTCTTCTCTGTCTTGCTAAGAGTTTATCTATTTTGGTGGTACTGGAGTTTGAACAGGGCTTCACACTTGTCAGATAGAATTCTATTATTTGAGTCATGCCTCCAGCCCAGCCCTAGTTTCTCTGTTTTCTTTTTGAAGAATAGCCTCTTTGCATCATTGATCTTTTGTGTTGTTTCTTTATCTCTACCCCAATATTTATTAACTCTTTTCTTCCAATAATGGGCTTGGTTGTTCTTGTTTTTCTGGATCATTGACATGCTTTCTGCTCTTGTGATATAGGTTTAATACCATGAACTTCCTTTGTAATATTGCTTTTGCTGCACTCCATAGGTTTGAGTATGTTGTGTTTCCATTTTCTTTTCTTTCAAGAAAATTTTAAACTTCTTTTCTTGGAGGAGAGCAGAGGGTAACTTCTTGCTGGGCAGGAGCTCTACCGTTTGAGTTACGCTCCCCCAGCCCTTTTTGGTTTTTTAGTTATTTTTAAAATGGGGTCTCCTGTTTATAGCGAGGCTGGCTCAGACCACAGTCCTCCTATTTACACCTTCCACATAGCTGGAATGATAGGCATTACCACCAAACCCAAGCTTTATTGGTTAAAAATGGAATCTCACACTTTTTTTTTTTTTTTTTGGAACCAGGACTGGCCTCAAACTGCAATCCTCCTGGTCTTCATCTTCCAAGTACTTAGGATTACAGTCATGAGTCACAGTGTTCAACCTTGATCCATTTGTTGTTTAATTTCCATATATTGTATAGCTTCCAAAGTTTTTCTTCTTCTTGATTTCTACTTTTATTGCATTGTGATTAGAAAATACACAATATGATTTCAAGTTTAAATAATTTTTGAATTGTTTTGTGGCCAATCATCTAATCTGTCCTTGAGATGGTTCCATGTGCTGCAGAGAAGAAAGTGCTTTCTGTAGTTATTGGGTAGAATGCTCTGTAGATGTCTATTAGGTCTGTTTGATCTAGGGTGCCATTTTACTGTGCTGTTTCTCTGTTTATTTTCTATCTAGAGATGATATGTCCATTAATAAGAGTAGGATATTCAGTCACCTACTATAATTTTATTGAGGAGGTCTCTCTCTCTCCCCCTTTAGATATATTAGTATTTGCTTTATGCATTTGGGTGCTCTGATATTGGGTGCATATAAATTTAGAATTATTTTCTCTTGCTGACTTGACCCTTTTGTCATTGTATAATGACCATCCTTTTTATTATTATTATTATTTTAATATTCATATGTGCATACAAGGCTTGGGTCATTTCTCCCCCCGTCCCCACCCCCACCCT